ACAATTAATGACTTAAAAACATTCTTACTTAACAAGTGCGATTTGCTAGATTCTTTAGGTCATAAATCTACCCCTAATAAAAATAACTTTAAATCCATTAAAACTACCTCTAAGAATTTTTACGTCTCAAATACAACATGTACCATCTGTAAGGGCACTCATCCTACTTACAATTGTAAAGAACTAATACATTTGGCGCCAGCAAATCGCCTGGAGTTTGTCAAAGCTAAGGGGCTTTGTATTAATTGCCTTAAGCCAGGTCATAAATCTATCGATTGTAAATCTAGTAACTGTAGAAGATGTGGTCGCAGGCACAATACTTGTTTACATATGGACCGAACAGGTACACGTAATTTACATGACATCAATCCAGAATCAAGTAGTGCCAATCATGAACCTACCTCGAATTTAGTTACAACAAACACTAGTAATTCATTTCATCAAGCTTTCAATGTTCAAACAAATACGCATGTATTACTTTCTACGATTTTGGTTAAATTACGTGATAGATTTGGTAACACTCATGAATGCAGAGCCTTATTGGACAGCGGCTCTCAGTCTAATTTTATAACGCAAAAATTGTGTAATAAGATGCACCTGTCAAAATCGGAAATTAATCACAGGGTTAGCGGTTTAAATTCGGCCTCTACTCAAATAAATTACCAAACAAAGATTCAATTAATGGCTCGGCATAACAATTTCGCACTAGATCTCTCTTGCCTAGTTATTCCAAAAATATCAGACCAACTTCCTTCTATATCATTAAACAATGTAAATCTTACATTGCCAAATGTGATTTTGGCTGATCCTACGTTTACCCGACCAGGCCCTATCGATATATTAATCGGGGCTGGTAACTTTTTTAACATATTGTCGGTTGGTCAAATCTCATTAGGGGCAGGAAAGCCAATATTACAAAAAACCCTCTTTGGGTGGGTCGTTTCCGGACCTCTACAGCTTCCCAGTCATATAATAAATCAATCTGTATCTCAATGTAATTTTTCGAACGACTTAGCTTATAACTTGTCCCAATTCTGGGAAATTGAAAATATTTCAATGCCTACATCGGCTACAATGTCCAAGGAAGAAAACTTCTGCGAAGAACATTTTGTAGAACACACAAGACGCGATGCAGATGGTCGATTTATAGTAAACATTCCTTTTAAACGTGATCCTAAAATATTGGGAAATTCTTACGAAAACGCAAGGAAACGCTTTTATGCTCTTGAGCGCAAATTTAATTCAAATGCTGAATTAAAAGAGTCTTATACTTCATTTATAAATGAATATATTGAGTTAAATCACATGAGTTTAGACAATAATCGTACATCCGCTACTCATTCACATTATTTCCTTCCGCATCATGCGGTAATTAAAAATCACAGTCTAAGCTCCAAAACAAGAGTTGTATTTGATGCATCCTCAAAAACCACGACAGGCATATCTCTTAATGATATTCAAGCCATAGGTCCCGTTATCCAACAAGACCTTTTTTCTATTGTATCTCGTTTTCGCAAATACAACGTTGCCGTTACTGCCGATGTAACAAAAATGTACAGGCAAATTCTCGTTTCTCCTGAACACAGATCACTTCAATCCATTTTATGGCGCCAGAATTCTAATGAACCGTTAAAAATATATAATTTAAACACAGTCACTTATGGCACAGCATCTGGTTCTTTTCTTGCGATAAGATCTTTGCAGCAGACAGCCCATGATCATAAATACATCTATCCTCAAGCCTCTCAAGCCATACTACGGGATTTTTATGTTGATGATTTTTTATCGGGTTGCGATACATTAGACGAGGCGATAGAGTATATAAGACAAATTTCTGAAATTTTATCATCTGGATGTTTCGAGCTTAGAAAGTGGGTTTCAAATGAACCCCAGGCCCTACAATTCATTAAGCGTGATTCAGAATTAAAAATATTACAAATCGGTGAAAATGAAAAAACAAAAACCTTAGGTTTATGGTGGAATCCCAAAGACGACGCGTTTGAATTCTCAATTAGCCTTGATTGTGTTAGTAATTTAACAAAGCGAAAAATACTTTCATGTATAGCACAGATTTTTGATCCATTGGGACTATTGTCACCTGTCGTCATTCAGTTCAAAATTTTTATGCAACAATTATGGCAATCGAAAGCCACTTGGGACGAATCGCTCCCTCAAGCTCTCCAAACGCATTGGTTAAAGCTTTATAATCAATTACCTTATGTAAATAACATTCAAATTCCGCGACGCGTTATTATTTCGAAACCAAAAGTAGTCGAATTGCATTGCTTTTCTGATGCAAGCCAAAATGCTTACGGCGCATGTCTTTACATTAAATCTGTAGATAACGAAGGCAATGTGCAGGTTAAACTGTTATGTTCAAAAACAAAGGTGGCACCTATAAAAATTTTGACCATACCTAGATTAGAACTCAGCGCGGCATTAGTGTCTGCCGAACTCGCAAAAAAGGCAATAGAATCGTTGGATGTAAAGCTAGCAACTGTTCGATATTGGACAGATTCAACTATTGTTTTGGCTTGGCTTCAATTAGAGCCAAATCGCTTAAACACCTTTGTCGCCAATAGAGTAGCGGCTATTCAATCTTTAAGCGATTCAAATTCTTGGGGACACGTATCAACTGCAGATAATCCCGCGGATCTGCTATCTAGAGGCATAAGTCCGAGTCAGTTGTAAGAAGTTTCATTATGGTGGGAAGGCCCACCGTGGCTCCACAAATTAAATATTACCTGGCCAATCGTTAATTGTGACTTGGAAGAAATTCCCGACATAAAAACTACGAGTGTTAGTTTAGCCAGCATTAACGAAGAATCATTTTTTAAGTTTAAAACTTTCTCGTCACTAAACAAATTGAAACGTATAATGGCATATATTTTGCGGTTTTGCTCGCCAAAGCCAAATCGACTTAGCGGCCCTTTGTCGGCAACAGAATTAGACAAGGCATTTAATATACTTTTACGAGTTGCGCAAAGGGAATCGTTCTCACAAGAATACGCTAAACTATCACAAGGTAAAAGTCTTGGGCACAAAAATAAATTGTCGGCATTAAATCCTATTTTTGATGATAAATTGATCAGGGTGGGGGGCAGGTTAAGCAATTCTAATTATACTTATAGTAAAAAACATCCAGTTATTTTGGATGCTAAACACCCTCTCGCGACATTATTATTTTCATATGAGCATAAACGTCTACTGCACCCTGGCCCTGAGTTTCTTTTGTCATCAATTCGCGAATACTGCTGGCCAATAGCAGGTAGAAATCTTGCAAGAAAGATTACAAGACATTGCATAACATGTTTTAAGGCAAATCCTAAGAGCAATAATCAAATTATGGGAAATTTACCTGCCGACCGTGTAAATATTAATATTCCATTTAATGTCGTTGGCACTGACTACGCCGGCCCATTCACCCTTAAGGATAGAAAGGGCCGTGGCTGTAAAACTTTAAAGGCATACATCTGTTTATTTGTTTGCTTTGCCACCAAAGCAATTCATATCGAATTGGTTACTGCATTAGATGTCGAGCATTTCTTATCGGCTTTTAAACGTTTTATTGCTCGGAGAGGTCGTCCTTCTCGCATTGTATCAGACAATGGTACCAATTTTGTGGGCGCATCATCTGAATTACGCAATCTATTTAAATTCATTGATGATAATAATGCTTTTATTTCTAACGCAATATCAAATGAAGGAATAAACTGGAGTTTTATTCCTCCAAGGTCTCCACATTTTGGCGGACTTTGGGAGGCAGGTGTAAAAAGCGTCAAACACCATTTAATTCGCGTGACAAAGGGCAGTATATTTACTTTTGAGGAATTTTATACAATTTTAACTGAAATTGAATCAATACTGAACTCCCGTCCAATGACCCCTCTTTCAAATGATCCCCATGACTTGACTCCTTTGACTCCCGGTCACTTTCTAATCGGAAGGTCGATAACGAGTTTACCTGAACCTGACTTGACTCAAATGAAAACTACGCGATTGTCGAGATATCAACACTTAATTCAGATTCGACAACATTTTTGGTCACGTTGGTCCAAGGAATATATTTCCGAACTCCAGGTGAGGTCTAAATGGCATAAGGCGACACCCGGTATACCCATTGGAGCACTGGTCGTGATCAAAGAAGACAACGTTCCTGTAATGCAATGGAAGTTGGGGCGCATTTTAGAAAAACACTACGGTACGGACAACGTGTGTCGTGTAGTGACAGTGAAAACACAAACGGGTGTGTTTAAGAGAGCAATTTCAAAGGTGTGCGCGCTTCCGATCGAAGAGAAAGGTGCCAGTGACTAAAAACATTAAACATTAAACATTGTATATAAAATTTAAAATTACTTGTTAATACTGATGTACTTAGTATTTAGTTATTAATTTTAGCCCTAGTGAATATTGTTTGATTCACTATTGTACTAATGTTTATATTCTATTATTTATGCCTTAATAATTCATTGAAAGGCCTCCTTTCAAGGTGGGCGGTATGTTTGTAAATTTTCAATATAAGTGCCTTAAGCGCCTCAAGCGGCATGCGCCACTTAAAGCTCCTCCCCCAAGGGCTTACCGAGGGATGATTTCTTTTAAAATAGTTAGTCAGGCTAGTACAGCCGCTCTAGAAAGGAATATTGTTAAATAATTAAGCTACCATTTAAGTCATTGTATTATTCAGCAGTTAACTGAATAAAGAGTTAAGTTTACATACTTCGTGTTCAATTCCTTTCTACTAAGCATCACAAAACAAACAACTTTACAATTATTATGTGTAAAAATTCTCAGGATCCTGTCAATAAAATCTTTTTTTAAACTAGATTTAAGTGCTTTTAAATTTAACATTATTAAAAAAAAAATACATAAAATAATTTATTTTTATATTTATATACAATTCCTACAAAAGAATTAAAAAGGGTATAAATAACAGCTTTTATAAGTTTAGTATTATATGAGATTTTTTGTTGTATTTGATCCCATCTTTCGATTTGTTTCAGGTGCGCGAGAGCCAAAGCCAGGACCTGAAAGGCAACCTGACGTCTCCCGTGGCCCGTTTCAGCGTGACCGGGCTCGAGGCGGGCGCCCAGTACCAGGCGGCTCTGTTTTCTTACAACGCAAAGGGTCGCAGCGAGCCGGCCATTCTGCAAGCTGCCACGCTACGTTTGCCGGAGAAACAGCTCACCGCCGAAAAAGGTACGGTGCCCGAAAAGGGTTTGACCCCCTGATTTCAATCGCAAATAACTTTTTTATTTGATGTCAGATTTAAACGAATATTAAAGAATATTGTAGATAAATTAATGGACAATCGCTCACATTTTAAAAATTACTAAAAAATAGACGTACGTTTATAATATACAGGTTTAAACAAAAAGATGTATTTTACCATAAGTTTAAGACACTCTGTAGAGTGGCAAAACCGTATATTGTTCTAAATTAAGTTTTATTTATCAAGTCACATCTATTCTTAACAGTTTTGTTTTTGGTTCACCTCGATATATTTATTTTTGTGGAAAATATGGATTTAAAAAAAAAACATTGCAATTTCCAATATTTTTCTGTATGAAGAGCTAAGGTTGCTATGGTCCATCCATAGGCTATGGAGAATGACAGTGACAGTTTTGTTGAATCATCCCATACTTGGACATGTCATAAACGGCTTTCAAAAGCTATCAAATTGTTTTTTGCAAATTTTGAGGTGTCTTCTTACTTTAAAAAATGGATATGTCTCCGACTGATGTTGCCAGAACCATTAATTTTATCCAAGATGGACGGTCACAGTATTACGTGGCAAGTGATTTAAACGACACAAGAAGTAAACAACAAAGGGCAAGATCAGTCGAAGACATTTTTAAAAGTAAGAAGACACCTCAAAATAAACACAATAATTTACAAAAAAACAATTTGAAAGCTGTATATGACATGTCCAAGTATGGGATGATTCAACAAAACTGTCACTGTCATCCTCCATAGGCTATGGATGGACCATAGCAACCTTAGTTCTTCATACAGGAAAAATATTGAAAATTGCAATGTTTTTTTAAAAAAAATCCATATTTTCCACAAAAATAAATATATCAAGGTGAACCAAAAACAAAACTGTTAAAAATAGATGCGACTTATATTTAGAACAATATACGGTTTTGCCACTCTACAGAGTGTCTGAAACTTATGGTAAAAAACATATTTTTGTTTAAACCTGTATATTATAAACGTACGTGCATTTTTTAGTAATTTTTAAAATGTGAGCAATTCTCCATTAATGTATCTACAATGTTCTTTAATATTTGTTTAAATCCGAAATCAAATAAAAAAGTTATTTGCGATTGAAATTCATCGAAAATTTGTGTGGATCGATTATTTTGCCTGTGAGTGTATGTACTTTATTATATTATTATATTTAATAATAATTATTAATTTTTAAAAGTGCTTTAAAATTTTATGCAGCATATAATTTTATAATTTAAATTTTTCTCCATAAATTCTAGGGTTAATAAAAGACAAAGATAAAGAGAAAAAATACTAAAATGAATTGCTTCTTTTAAGAGAGGCATATAACTCTGCTGAATTCAAAAGTGTAATAAAATGGAATTGAGGGAGATTATAAGCATAAAACATATCCCGCTTTAAAGTTGGTGTATAAATAAAAAACCAACGTTGTTTTAAGAACAAACAGTAAATTTGTAATTAACCACTTCGCTGGTTTGGTGCAAGACTATCCTAAGTCCATTTTCAAAGAATTGAAGAAAAACACTATTTAACATTTCTATTTATTGTAACTAAATTGTTTTTTTGCATAATTTGTATTTATTTATTATCTTTGGATGTAAAACCTTCCAATTTTTTAAAGAATGACGCAAAAAACAATTTAGTTACAATAAATAGAAATGTTAAATAGTGTTTTTCTCCAATTCTTTAGTCTTGCACCAAACCAGCGACTTGTTCTGCAACATTTTAAAAGGCTCTAAAGGTAACTATTTTTTAATCTATAATTAACCAGAGTTACAAATTAATAAAAAAGAAATGTACAATTTGGGTCATATTTCGAGCTAGAAAATGCCAATTTGGTTGCAAAAGGTGTCCACTTAAATAATATACACTAAATATTAATCTTTTTTCAAACAAGCAGATCTTATTCTTGCCTGTTAAATGATAAGAAAGACTTTAAATGAAATAATCTTATTCTTAATTTAAGATTAACAATCGATTAGACAAAATTTTGGAAAATTCCCTCTATTCTGTCTCTATAAATATAATTATATTTATTCTAAGATTAGTAAATATTGGTACGACTGGCCTATTCTTAAAAATATCCCCCACTCACGAAAGTGACCGACGTTTTAGAAGATTGTGTTAGTTAATATTTGGTTTGGAATTATGAAAGACCTGCTAAATTAGTGGAATTTGATAGAATTAACCACCAAATGTATGTGTAGGTAATAATTATTAGATAATTATATTTATGTGTGTAGTATTATGTATTGAATTTTAGATGTTAGATATTAGGTTGGCCGAAGAATCACAAAAAAACAATTATGTATATTTTACCTCAGGATTATAGGTACGAATAAAAATTTTTGTTAAACAGGCCAATATAGCCAAAAAATGTCCGTCTCGCAAACAAAATCAACGTTACTGATGGTTTGAAAAAATCATTGCAGTATATATTATATAAATAAGTAGATAGGTTTTTGAAACATTGTAAAAAGTTATATAATAAAGACAATGCTATAGACCAATATCATTTTTTTTTAGGTTAAGTTAAGCAATAATTGTTTCAAATATTGTCTGTTCTTTTATTTTTATTTTTGCTCGACTTTAAAGGTTAGTATAAAAATGACCATGTTTATTTTAAAAGGTAAAGAGTGGATTATCATATCCATTTTTCTATATCAGTCTTAGAAAAAAAGAGATAGCATAATCTACTCTTTACCTTTTGAAATAAACATGGTCATTATATCCTAACCTTTATTTAGTCAAGCAATTTTTAATTTTAAATTGACAGGATCCTGAGACCAGGATACTGAGAATTTTTACACATAATAATTCTGAACATCACGGACAAGATTTTGAACAATTTATTTTATTTTTAAATATATTTTTTATTTTTGTAATACATATGCTTTTTTATTAAAAAAATGTGTAAAATTTTATAAAATATTCATGTTATTTTGTTTTTTAGTAAATTAAAAATTAAATTATGAAAAAATTAAAATGTGCATCCGCCATTTTTAATAAAACATTTAAAAAATGGCGAATGCACTTTTAAAATTTTGTGAAATATTAATGTTATTTTGTTTTTTAGTAAATTAAATTATGAAAAAATAAAAATGAGCATCTGCCATTTTTGATAAAACATTTAAAAAATGGCGAATGCGCTTTTAAAATTTTATGAAATATTAATGTTATTTTGTTTTTTACTAAATTAAATTAAATTATAATAAAAAATCTTAGCAAAATTAAATAAATATAATTATATTTATTCTAAGATTAGTAAATATTGGTACGACTGGTCTATTCTTAAATCATTGCAGTATATAAAGGGTTTTTCATTTAGAGCGTCAGAACTTTTAAATGAGATAAAAAAATAACTACATGTTATAATCCCGTAATCTATATTTTATTTTGAAGAACGATCGATGACATTATGTTTTAAAAATAATATCGTTTAAATGTCCCCCTCGACTTTGCCTGACTGAATGCATTCTGAAGGCCTAATTTTCTACTATTCTTTTACAAATATCGCGTGGTATATTTTGAATAGTGCGTTTAATGTTTCGTTTAAGGTCGAGAATTGTTCGTGGCTTATTTTTGTAAACCTGAGATTTCACATGATCCTTTAGATGCACAAAAGTTGACTTATTTGCCAGTAAACCAGTTTTTTCTAACTTAAACGATAAACCTGCACGACCACATATCGCAACTTGCAAAATGTTTGGCAAACGGAACATGCATTTTGATGGTAAATACGAATTATTTCTAAGCGCTGTTAAATTGTTATCTGTCCATATTAATTTGACACAATGTACTGAACACATGTGTTGTCAAGATTTGACATTTACATTACAGAGCAGCCTTATTTTTAGGGTTAAAGTTATGACGCTTTAAATGGAAAACCCTTTATTATATATATAGGTAGATAGGTAGATGGTTTAGTTTCTATACTTGTATAGTTTTCAATCTAAAAGAAACAATTATTTGTGAAAAGGCCCAGAAGTAAAATTGGAATAATGGTAGTCATTTTGCACAAACTACTTACCCTTTTAGGGAAAACTAAAATCGTATATTGTGGATCTCGAAAAAGGGGCGATAGCAAGGGATGGAAAAGGTCTCGCAGGCGTCCTGCTGTGCCCTGCAACGGTCTGTTTGCCCCGAAATTCAACTCCTGCTGGAAAGGTAGATTCGAGCGTCGCGTCCATATAATTAAAAGAGAACTTACTTGGACGTTTGCCGTTAACTTTGCCTAACTATTTCGAGCTTCTGTTTGAAGATTGCAAAAGCTTTCCAGGCCAAGATTCTCCCGAAATCCCGGACCAGACCGTTTTTGCTTTATCCTTCAGTTAAGGATAAAACAACATGCACCTTCCTTTTTTTTGTTCCGACTTTATATGCACTTGAATGAAGTTTGTTTAAAGCAATTACAACTTAAATAAGGAATTTTTAAATGCAGGCTAAAAAACTAATTAATTTCAGCCACACTTAATTTTAAAAGGAAAGTTTTCCACGTCCAAAAATAAAAAATAAATAAGGACACTGAAATATCTTGTATATTGTTTGCGGGTGTAGTTTTAATTTAATTCTTGCTTCGTGCTTCGCCAAGTCAAGCGGTAAAAACAAAGATTAAAATTGTGCTTTAATCATAAAAGTAAAAAGTCGTTATTTCAGAAAGTGGAAAATTGGGGTAACACTTTTAATCGATGTTACAAACTATTTTTTTTTGCAATTTAGAAAGACACATACATTTTAGCACACAGAAAAAAAGCTATTCTATATTAAAGATTAAACAGTATAGATACTTTTTATTTAAGGATTGATTTATTATTATTTGTAATTTAAATTAATACTTATTTGAAGGATATAGGGAGTTGAATGCAAGAACTAACTTATACTTTTTTGGATATAATTTCAATGTTAGGTGCAAGGGTAAAATTATTCTTATTTCAAGAAAAACTATCATATTATTTTAAATGCAAGCACCCTCAAATAAAATATACGCTATGCTTAATTTAAGAATAAGTATTTTTTGATACAAATGTTATAATTCTTGGCGATACAATATTTACTTTAGGATTAAATATAAGGTATCTTTATGTAAGTTAAGCAATAATTGTTTCAAATATTGTCAATTCTTTTGCTTGACTTTAAATAGAGGTTAGGATATAATGACCATGTTTATTTCAAAAGGTAAAGAGTGGATTATGCTATCTCTTTTTTTCTAAGAATGATAGAGAAAAATGGATAGGATAATCCACTCTCTACCTTTTAAAATAAACATGTTCATTATATCCTAACCTTTAAAGTCGAGCAAAAGTAAAAAAAAATAGACAATATTTGAAACAATTATTGCTTAACTTAACCTGAAAAAAAAATGATATTGATCTATAGCATTGTCTTTATTACATAACTTTTGTACAATGTTTCAAATACTTATCTACCTATATATATATATATATAATATATACTGCAATGATTTAAGAATAGACCAGTCGTACAAATATTTACTAATCTTAGAATAAATATAATTATATTTATTTAATTTTGCTAAGATTTTTTATTTTAATCGTAGGAAGGATCATATTTTAATTAAATTTACTAAAAAAACAAAATATCATGAATATTTCATTCAATTTTAAAAGTGCATTCGCCATTTTTTAAATTTTTTATCAAAAATAGCGGTTGCACATTTTTATTTTTTCATAATTTAATTTATTTTAATTTACTATTTTACATTTTTTAAATGTTTTATCAAAAATGGCGGAGGCACATTTTTAGTTTTTCATTATTTAATTTAATTTACTAAAAAACAAAATAACATTAATATTTCACAAAATTTTAAAAGTGTATTCGCCATTTTTTAAATGTTTTATCAAAAATGGCGGATGCACATTTTTATTTTTTCATAATTTAATTTAATTTACTAAAAAACAAAATAACATTAATATTTCACATTCGCCATTTTTTAAATGTTTTATCAAAAATGGCGGATGCACATTTTAATTTTTTATAATTTAATTTAATTTACTAAAAAACAAAATAACATGAATATTTCATAAAATTTTAAACATTTTTTTTTAATAAAAAAGTATATATATTACAAAAATAAAAAATATATTTAAAAATAAAATAAATTGTTCAAAATCCTGGTCTCAGGATCCTATCAATGGAAAATTTAAAATTGCTTGACTAAATAAAGGTTAGGATATAATGACCAAAGGTAAAGAGTAGATTATGCTATCTCTTTTTTTCTAAGACTGATATAGAAAAATTGAAAGGATCTCTCTCTTTACCTTTTAAAATAAACATGGTCATTATATCCTAACCTTTAAAGTCGAGCAAAAGTAAAAAAAAAATAGACAATATTTGAAACAATTATTGCTTAACTTAACCTGAAAAAAATGATATTGGTCTATAGCATTGTCTTTATTACATAACTTTTTTGCTATGATTTTTTAAAACCTTCAGACACGTTGATTTTTATTACCTACACATTCATTTGGTGGTTAATTCTATCAAATTCCACTAATTTAGCAGCTCTTTCATAATTTCAAACCAAATATTGACTAACACAAGAAACAATCTTCCAAAATGTCGGACACTTTTGTGAGTGGGGGATATTTTTAAGAATAGGCCAGTCGTTCCAATATTTACTAATCTTCGAATAAATATAATTATATTTATTTAATTTTAATCGTAGGAAGGATCATTTTATGAAGTAACTACCTTAACAAAGTAGTCTTCCTGTTATCATTCCTTATACATTGTACGTTATTACGTAGATGATATCATTATTTCACAAGGATCTAAAATGAATGAAGCCATATGAATATTAAGATGCAATTCGGTTTATTTCGTTTCCTTATTACTAGCATAAGCGATTTCGAAAAGTAGTTCAGAGAATCTATTTTGCATTTGCTCCTTAATTATACATGAGGAGCATGTAAAGAAGCAATTGAAAGTCCCTCATTAACCAAATAGTTCGACTTTTCCACATATTTATTTTTTTACATCTCCGCAAAATTTCGTTATGCATCGTGGTTTCAATTTAAATATTTCGCATAACGTGCCCCAGATTGGTTCAGATTTACAATATATATATTTTAAGGTAAAATTACAAAAATAAACAAAAAGTTTTTTTCTTATAAAGCGTTTCTAAGAAATAATACATTTTTAAACGCAGGCAACCCATATTACACGTGGATGTAATACTGGTTGCGTTTTTTACTAAAATATTACCCTTCTTTATTCATAAATATACACGGAGAGAAAAGTATAACGCTGATTACCCTAATTATAATACCCTTTACTATATTGCCAGGTACTATGCATATTTAGTAATTTTTAAATATCCATGTAGGTTAAACCTTAAGGTAAAATATTATTATTCTCAACCAATTTTGTTTTTAATTCTTATTATAATTAGATTTTTTCCATTAGTAATAAGTATAGCAAATTTTAAAATATTATGTTGCCATTTTAAATATAAAATATTTTAAAATCGAATATTTTTATATGTTAACAATTAAAAATTGTAAGATATTTATTGTACTTTTTGATATACAAAAATGTTATGAGAAAGAAGTGCGTTCCATCAACTTCAAATACCGACAGACAGATGTTTTGACCTATATTGGGTATCATCAGTGTCGACACGACACTGTCGAGCAACTTGTAGTAGTGGAACACACCCAAAACAAAGAAATACCTGAGCTTATATAACATGGTTGGTAAGCCAACAGAGGCGAGATGTAAGAACATCACGTGATCCACACCGTCTAACGACGCGTCGCGACGTGGCCTTGCCGCAATCGGTACATACTATGCAACCAAGCAGGTTCAATTCTTTCTTATAAGTATTACCAGTAATAGGTCAAGAAAGTTTATTGAAGAAACTAGGAAAATTGAATGTTTAAATTGTCATGAGTTACCTACTATATTGTATATTATATTTAAATATATTGTTTATTTACCTTAAACATAAAAGTATCTTTATTTTTACTATATTTTTTATTAATGTGTAATATATTATAATATTAGATGTACACCTTACATTTGATTAAATCATATAGTAAATATTACTATTTTTAGATAGTAAAATCAATTTACTATACAAACATATTAAAAATTAAAATATATATTATACATTTATGATTTAGTAATATTGGTGTTGTAATCTTTACTAAAATTGTATAATTCAAAATAGTATTTTGTATTATAATACAAAATTGTATACAATCTTAATATTGTATTGACGAATATACAGGGTGTTATGTAATTAATGTTATATATTAAAATACTGAATACCTTTTGACATAAGGAATAAAGGAAAAATATTTAAAAAAACATTTTTCCAAAGATAAAAAAAAAATATGCATTAGAAGTTTTTTATATTTTTTGTGATACGCCACTGGTTACACTCTTGTTTATCTCTGCACACCTGTATTTTGTGAGTACATAGATACCAACCAACAAAGTAGCTATGCGTTGCCAGGCGTAAAAAATTGTTACTAAAAATTTTTCTTGCAAAAAATAAATAAAAACTCAATAAATACAAAAGTTGTATGCCCTTAAAGCTCTAATACCCTTCTGTATTTATTTACTGATCCAGCTATTAGCTTAAGCAATGATTAGAAAATTTAGTACCTTTGAAATTTGAAATCCATAACCACAAAATTAATTTTTTCATCAGTTTTTTTCTCTGTTTACTCAGATGAAATTGGGACCAGTTCACAGGTTAAACATTTAATTTGTGTAAATAAATCCAAAAGCACTTCCCTTAGTTAAGATATTTACAATTTGAAAACATAACCTAAAATTTAAAAGCACTAGATTCTGTAATAAAAGTTGTCAGATTTTGTTTGAATTTACCTTCAGTACAAAAATGAAATAACCAACAATTAATAAAAACGCCAAATTGACAATTTGCATTGTTAATTTTGTCATTTTTGTAATTAAGCTAAATTTAAACAATGTTTGTCAACTTTTTTGAGAGATTTTGGAAAAACTGTTGTTACCAACCATAACATAATAAATCCACCAGATTAACCTAAAGTTCCTAGTCGATCAGTGGCGTACTTTTTGGTAGGATAAAGGTTATTATAAATTATTTTTAGACTTTGGAATTTGGAAAAAAAAAGTTTCAGGTGCTTCTTTATGGACCCTAAGGAACAACCCATTTTAATATATAACATTAATTACATAACACCCTGTATAATATTGTTACCCTAAAAATTTCTTAAAGTAAATTTTACTATATTTTTTTTAATATCTAAAATTTACTATACATTTATTTCCGTGTAATAGCAATAAACTTTGTTGCAGATTCTCAAAGGACCGGTTTTCGTTTCACCCCCATGATGAGCGTGTTGATCGGCGTGGTATCCGCCCTGCTTATTGTGGCCTTGGTGGTGATTTTGGTGCTTAGATTGCAGTGCACTCAGAATGACGACAGACGGAAGCGGCACAAAAACGCCGTCACAGTAGGTGGGGGCAGTTTGGAACACAGAGGGTCAGGTAGTGGGGCTACCCTTAGCGACAAAGGAGGTAAATATCATCGACTATTTCCCTCGTCTTAATTTCCACCAATCACAAACGCTTAATTTTAACTTACAAATGGTTTCTAGGTGAAAAAACTGTGTGACCGCACCTGTCAGCAGTTTTTTCGAGTTTACCCGCGGCAAAACTTGACAGCTGTTGTCACCAAAAATTGCAATTAATATTTTAATTGTTAACTGTTACTCATGAAATAGTCTTGTCAAATACCATTCGTGCATCTAACTTTTCCTGTGAAAAAAATCGAAAAAACACAATGCTAAGTAATATTTTTTAACAAAATGCATTCGTGCAGGTACAAAAATCCTCCTCTTCGACTCGGATTTTTGTTGCCACCAGCACTCATGCTTTTTGTTAAAATATTACTTAGCAACGTGTTTTTTCGATTCTTTTCGGAAAAATTAAATGCCCTTATGATATTACTTACGATAATACACTCTTAATATGTTTACCAATCAAAACATCGTATTTCAGAAATTTTGACATATAAGATTTTTTCTACTCCCACCTTTAAAACGCCCTTTATCGTACATGTTTCCCTGACACTAAGTGACCTTTTAAATACACATTGACAAGTTGTGGCTTTATTGCGCTTTAGTCACGGGCTGAAGTTAGCAACAGGTTTTTAGTCACGGGCTGAAGTTAGTTGACAGTTGTCAAATGTCATACAATCGATAAAACAAAGTGCCTTTCTTGTAAAATAATACTAAATGTGAAAATTATTTTATTATCCTAATACAAAAATACAAAAGTATTAAATAGTTTCTCAACGCCAATATTTGAAAAGTTTATATGAACATTTCGCCGGCAGTAAACTATAACTTAAATTCGGGCACGGACTCCACTGTAAAGTGCTCATAAAACATTTTCTTTACTTTCACTGTGAAAAACTGTCAATTTTCAAGAAATACATTTCGATTTATAACCTTTATAATCTGTGTTTATAATTTATAAAAATTTGATATTTGGTGACACACAGATTGTTTCATAGATAGCGCTCTATACAAATTTTTGATTTAAATCATTTTAAGATAATAATATGTATTTGTCGTAGAAAAAGTATAGTATGCACCTCGTTTATAAACTTTTCTATACACTCATTAATTTAAGCACTCGCTCGCAAGCTCGCTCGTTCCTAAATTAAATTCGTGTATAAAATGGCGTTTATCAAACTTGATACATAATATACTATTTTAATAGTATTAGTATATTATATTCTATTAAACGCTTCATTAAAAAAACTGGGCATGTTAATGCAAAATCTATAAATCCATATACATCCTATATATACTTGGATGATGACCATTCAAATTTAATTTCCAATTTAAGAGATCATACAAGCACAAATCAAATTTCTGGAAACACTTTCAATAATCAAATTTCAGAACCCAAGAGTAACATAACTTTTTTTAGACCTGTAGCTACTTAACTTATTCAGTATTGACCTTAATGTGACTGGAGCAGGAGAAAAATTTAATTTCAAAGTTAATTTTCCTGTTCATTTTAAAAGGGTCGCTCTGTTGTAGAGACAGATTAGAATGGATATGATTCAATTAATATCAAATTAACATTTTTTTAAAACAGGAAAACAGCTTAAAATGTAATCTGGGATAATTTATTCGGTTAATATATTATGTCTGGTTTAAACTAAAAATTCGCAGCTGGATTAACAAGCAACGGACAAGTCGTCAGTCTAAATCGTCTAAAATGTTTTTAAAAGGTACAATATTTGGACAAATAATAAATCAGCCGTATTTTTAATACCTGGGTTTATTTAAATTTATGTCGTTAGTAGTAGAATTTCATCTAAAATCATAAATTTATTTTTCGACTGCGCCATTTGCGTCTAAAATAAAATAAAGTGCTGTTATTTATTAAATTAATAATAATTACCGGCGGTTCCTTGTGGATGTAATTTTTCCGTGTCCTCATTTCAAGACACAAAGATTTTTTTCCTTTTTCAGCGCTTAAGTTTTTTTTCGAATCCCCGTTGGTTTCGTCCCATTAACGTCTTATTGTTACACTACGCTGATGGAATACCTAATACTTTTTCGAATAAATTCCTTTCCTTTAAGAAATCAATTAGTTTGAAATCATTATGCAAACGGAAAAATGATGAAAATTACTTGGTTACAGATGAGGCTTGATTAAAAGCTTTCTACGAAAAAATTGTGCATTTCGAAATTAATAATTTATTACTTTCAAAGACTTTTCGTGGGAAATTGCTTTCATTAATAAGAAAAAGGTTAAAGGAACTTTTAACGAAAAATAATAAATTCTTTTGAAAAGTCACTTTGTCAGTATCTACCACTAGCGCCATCTATTTGATTATCAACCTATCCTCATACATGTTTCTAATTTTCAGGCGGCAGCCCAATTTCCAAACACGAATCCAGTGCCGGGGAATGCGACAGCGACGAGAAAAATCCAGATATTATTCCACAACCGGTGGATGCTGATGACTTATCGGATTATTCCAGAAAACGTCAACACGTCTCCACTATTGAAACATCTCCCAGCAGAAGTTTGTTAAACCAAGCCGGAAACTCAGGTTACATGGGCTACTGCACCCTAAGAAATGGAATGCCTTTGCACGACCTAGCTACACAATCAAAAATTGTAAGTACACCATTGATAGGAACATAAAGATTTATTTATAACTAAATATCAATTTCCTAAACAAAAAAGTTAACACATACCTACCTATTTTTATTATTAAATTGAAAGGGCAACAAAGTAAACAAGTTTCAGTATTTTTTTATCCAAATTAACCCCTTAAAATTTAATGCATTGCATAATTTTGCTTTTTTATACCTTAAATTTATTAAATCGTATCAAATATTAAATTGGATTATATTATTATAGTGCTTAATCCTCATCATCGTCGTACATCTTTTGCTGCAAATTCCAGCAAATGCCTCCTAGCAATGAATCCAACTTCTTTCCGCTATACCCATAGATATCTACCAATGCTCTAGATTTGCAGTTACTTGATGAAATCGTTCTCCACGTTCATCAGTTCGGAAAATTGATCAGGATGAAAAAAAGTTAATGTTTCTTAAATGACTTATTAACGCCAATTTTTTACAAAACGGAGAGCATTTTTTCAATGAATTGGCGCCAATTTTAGGCCCGATACGAACCAAGAACATTTTCAATGACAGCTTTAACACTGCCATATGCGACAAGCTCGTCAACTGTGAGAACATTTTTAAATGCTTGATCTTTCAATAAACGTCGTATATCAGGTCCATTTAATATTCCTGCAAAATTAAAGTAGTAGGTATATCTCATAAAGTTTTGTAATGAAATATTGCGTTGATTTTTCTTGGGCGTAAAGGTACCGCAACAAAAACAAAACAAATTTACAACGACGACATAAATGTTCGTCTCCTTTCTCTTTCTCTGCTACTTCCATTACCACTTTCATTTCCTGCTCTTTTTTAATTTTTGGTTCTTAAAATCACTTTCAAGTAAAAATACAATTTAAAGTTTAAATTTTAAATGTCAATAATTAATAGATTTAGTGTGCTTGAACGATAAAGTAGATAAAGGCGCCTTTATACTTCAATTCGATATTAAATTTTGATAAGAATTAATAAATAAGATTCTAGATTAAATTTTAGGGTACTTTAGGCATGATGTGAATAAAAACATATGAAATAATAGTCGAAGAGTAATGCTTACGAAACCCATTTACTTTGTTGCCTTTTCAATTTAATTAGTAATTAAAAAAACGACACAAAGTTTCAAAAAATGATATTTACTTTTTACCAAAAAAACATTATAATTTTAGTTTTGGTATTTAATAAAGCACTTCTCCGCAGAAAATATCCCTTATAAAATACTACTATAGTATACGGCTACAATGGAACAAACAAAATTTCTATTTGACATTTATCTACCGATGACTTTGTATGGAGTCCCTGTATATTTTTGACAAAAAACGTCAAAAATATACTGAACATCTGAAATAGATTTAAGGCAAAACCGACCGGTAATAACCGAAATGCGTTTTAAAATGTTTGGTTGGTACCTATATACCTACGCAGTGCATATCCGGAGATACCGCGTTGTGGAAGTGTGGCATTTTTGTTCAGTTAGATTTTAATTACGGTAAATCCATAAGGGGGCATTCTTATTTTTTGGTAAGTATTATACTTCCTTTTTCTTTAAGCCTTAATACTCAATAAATACCAATATGTTAAAAGGATGTCCATACCCGACCTATATTATATATCAATAATTTACAGCAGTAGGTCGGGTACTTGTAACATTAATAATATAAATACATACACACTTGATTTACTTTTTATTTTCAAGCGTAATGGTTGTTATATTAACCTATACCTACATTTTTATTAATATTATGGAATATTTGTACACGTGTGGTAAATCCCCGACATACAGCCGCCTGACGCCTCTCTACCAATGGGATCACCCATTTTTTATAACAGAAAAATGGATTACTGATGAATTCTAAAGATAATTCATTGCTTACAAGTTGACAGCCAGTAAAACATTGCATTGATCTAAAACTTTTACGTTTTAAGGAACCATTTTGCTTAAGCCAGTCATACGACTCAAATATAAAATTATATTTTAAAAGGCACCGATTTTGATAATTGTCATACATTTTTGTTCCAAATAAATGTTTCTCTTTATTTACCTTTTCGTTTTATTCACTACCACCAATAGGTTTTACTTAAGTAATAGTGTTAATTTACACTAGAAGTTTGCACTAAAAGAGTAAAAGTACCTTTCTAAAATTAGAGCTTTTGCAAAGTAGTGTTATTTTACACTGAACAAAAGTGGGATTTTACCCAGGAAATGTAGAAGTACACGATTTTAGGTAAATTGCTTGCTTACTTGGGGAAAATTACACTACAAATTAACTCTAATTGTAGTGTTATAAAACAACACTATTTAGTGTGGACCTGTGTGAACTCTAATTAGTGTTGCGTAGAGATTTAAAAATGATCTGTTCAATCTATAAACATATTTATTATGTTTTCAAAGTTTAAAAAAGACTTCTTTTTGGGCGATATCTGATCGTTTATAGAAAAATAATTGGTATTCCCATAACAGCATTTGTTGTCGTTTCCTTTTTTGTTTGTGAACACGAACTTGATAATCAAAGTTGGCGGCATATTTTAATTAGTTTCACGAAACCGGGTGGAACTTTTGCCCATGCAATGAAATACCCAATTTAAGATCATCCGAGGACCTAAATGAGAATGTACGGTTGCAGTTAGAAAATATTCCGCTAAATTAACTTGGCGCTAAGAATTGAAGTGACCCATGCGAATTGCATTAAGGACTAGTTAAAGATAAAATATGGAGAAAATGTATTTAACAGCGCTTTTAATGCCCCAAGAAATTAGACAAACCAAATGGTAAATTAAAACTTTGTGGTTTAAATTTAAAATAATTACTGTAATTAATATTTTATTCAGTTATATTTAGTTATATTATATCTTCATTATTTAAAACGATATACCTACCACGAAAAAAAATGTGCTGGCCTGTTAAATGTTAAGAAAGACTTTAAATGAAATAATCTTATTCTTAATTTAAGATTAACAATCGATTAGATCAAATTTTGGAAAATTCCCTTTATTCTTTTTAAAACTATAATGGATATAAATATAATTATATCTATTCTAAGATTAGTAAATATTGGTACGACTGGCCTATTCTTAAAAATATCCCCCACTCACGAATGTGTCCGACATTTTGGAAGATTGTTTCTTGTGTTAATATTTGGTTTGGAATTATAAGAGCTGCTAAATTAGTGGAATTTGATAGAATTAACCACCAAATGTATGTGTAGGTAATAGTTATTACATAATTATATTTATGTGTGTAGTATTATGTATTGAATTTTAGATGTTGAAGTGATATTAGGTTTTCCGAAGAATCACATAAAAAACAATTATGTATATTTTACCTCTAGATTATAGGCACAAATAAAAATATTGGTTAAACAGGCCAAAAAATGTCCGTCTCGCAAACAAAATCAACGTGTCTGAAGGTTTGAAAAAATCATTGCAGTAAATATTATATATATAAAGTTGTCTATTCTTTTTTTAACTTTTGCTCGACTTTAAAGGTTAGGATATAATTACCATGTTTATTTTAAAAGGTATAGAGTGGATTATCCTATTTATTGTTCTCCTTTTGAAATAAACATGGTCATTATATCCTAACCTTTATTTAAAGTCAAACAAAAGTCAAAATAAGAATAGACAATATTTAAAACAATAAACATAAAGATACCTTATATTTAATCCAAAAGTAAATATTGTATCGCCAAGAATTATAACAGTTGTATCAAAAAATACTTATTCTTAAATTAAGCATAGTGTATATTTTATTTGCTGCATTTAAAATAATATGATTAAATTAAATTAAATTAAATTAAGCATAGTGTATATTTTATTTGCTGCATTTAAAATAATATGATAGTTTTTCTTGAAATAAGAATAAGTTTACCCTGTGTCTGGAGTAACATTTACACCCCTAAAATAAACATTTAACATTTAACACTTTCAATAAAAAGAACTTATAAGGTCGTATAAAGTCCTTATGCTCGAAGATTTATGCATTTAGTTATTTGGCCCAATTTGAAAAGAAAACCTAGCGCTATTCGTTTCCGCCATATTTCTCGCGGCACACGAGAAAAAGGCTTCGTGGCTATGGAGATGGCTCCCGCGCGTCCAATAACATTACTATGTATATTAAACTTACATCTTGTTTGCATTTTCCATAAGTTGGCATCTGAAAAAAGCGGAGCATTCACAATGCACTGTTACAGCAGTATAACAAGCAGACAATGGTGTACTGTATTTGCAATACCTGAATTACAGCTATGATCAAATGAATGATTGTCTTACTTTTATTTGTGCAAACCTGCTTAAAATTAGTTCAAACATAAGAAATTATTGAATTAAATTGTTATTTAATTGAAGCCACAAAGAATCTTAATGAAAAACTATCATTGGCATAAATAAAGTTATGGTTTCTAATGAATGGCTACATTAAATGCAATCAAAGCTCTATTTAAATATGTATATTCTTGTGCAAATATTAGTTGTATAATACATTAATATGAACTTTAAATAGAATTAATTCTGGAAACTGCTTCTGGGGCCCTATACTCGAGATCGTGAGAAGTGAGAAATCCCTTCTCTCGAGCGATAGATCACATCACACCAGCATCGCATGACCCATAAAATGTGTATTCTCAAAGTTGTGGGATGTGAGCTTTCGTCCACGATACGCTATGCGCTGTTGACATATCTACCAACCAATCGTATTATAGGGTTTCTGCACGTGACTTTGTTTATTTGTCGTTTTGACAATTGCAGTGTTTGCAGGTTATTTGCGATTGTGCGATAGTGATTGTTCACAGATTTAGTTTTAGTCAGGGTAAAGCAATTAAGTAAGTCTTTCTACTATGGTTTTTGTTATATTCGGTTTATTTTGTTGCA